CCTCATCAACAAATATATATGATAGAAACGAAGATGCGCGTCCCCGGACATAAATGAAACGAAAAGGCGATCTCGGGAATCATAGTTTTATTGTCCTGACGTTTCAAAATCAAACAAGTTCTCATCGTCGGAGGTGAGTTTTGTACCAAGCCTCACAGTAATTTTAGGTAGTGATGGTCTCCTTTCAACGGGTTTTCCTCTCGTCTGGGGCCGGCGTTCGGGCGCTAGCCGTCATCGCACGTGTTCGCATGGATCTTAGTTCTCGTCCTAGGCTGCCAATCTTCTTTACGACCTCGTGACGGCCTGTGTTCTCACCTGCCGGATGAGTGGCAGTGACGCTGGCACCTTCGTCGGGTCCGTTTCTGTTACTGCGACCGTCCGTTTTCTCACCTGCCGGACAAGCGGGCGTTGGGACTGTTGTGACGATCGCACGTTCGCCAGATCTAAGTTGAAGTGCAGCTGCGTTTGTGTCCCCCATGGATCTTAGTTCTCGTTCTCGACTGGCAGTCTTCTTTACGGCCCCGCGACAGCCTGTGTTCTCGCCTGTCGGATAAGTGGCAGTGACGCTGGCACCTTCGTCGGGTCCGCCTATGTTACTGCGATCGTCCGTTTTCTCACCGGCTGGAGAAGTGGGTGTCGCGACTGTTGTGACTATCGCACCTTCCTCAGATCCACATTGAAGTGCAGCTGCGCTTGTGTTCCCCATGGACCCGGCCGTAATTGGGTTCCCAAGATCGCCTCTTCTTCGCATATATAAATATATATATATAAATCTGTCTGTGTTCATATTCATTTTTTAATTTATTTTTCTATATATGTGTGTTGCGTTATTAAGATACAATTTTGCAAGTAAATTAAACGTTAAGCTCTCGTGTGTGCTCTTTTGGCACAATTTCGTTTTCCACGTAAGGAACCAATGAAAGTTCAAACGGAGATACAGATTTCGCGCTGCATGTGTCTGCGTTCCTGTGTCACGCTGCGCATGGTAAATATATGAAAAATTGCCAGCAGAAATGGGCGACACAAGAGCCGGACACGCAGGTCTCTGGGTATTATTTTCAATTCTAGCCAGGTCACTCCTTAGAAAATTACTTATAATAATACAGCGCTTTTAGCTGAACAAATTGACACCGAATAGTCCAAAAACAAGCCACTCCACCATTTGTCGCATCGCTTACTTAACTCCATGCCCACTAAGGCTGCTCACAGAGCAGAACTGTTGACATTTTCTTTACCACTAACTGCAAAATTAATGATAGAATGGGGCCTTAATCAGCACAACCAGAAAACGTAGCTATTTTCAAAGTGCAAGAGAAAGTGTTTTTGTTCATTTATATACAGAGAGTTGGCAATGACTAGTTTTGAAAAAGGTATTTAATTTTGTAATAAGGACTTATTTTTAGACAAGCCTTTGAAGTCTGCCAAATCGGAAGGCAGGCAGAAAAAACGTTCGGAAGAAGGCTTTGTTTCCACCAAATCTCAGAAACTGTAGAGGCCTGGTGAACACCAAACTTGGAGAGCGAACAATCCTACGTTGAACACCGCAGACGATATGCAGCAAGGTGTTCATTGGCTTAGTAGAGGATGCGTACACTTTCAACTACATTTATCGGTAAAGCACATACACTGTACCTTTACCAGATGAGAACTCTCCTCACCGGTCACCGGGGGTATAATTCAAATTCAACTTGAGATTACAATCAAATATTTAGACGACATTCGGGCTTTTTGTCTGTGATCTTCGATACATATTCATTTTCGCTAATATCCGGTACATGATTCCAGTCGAAAATCGTTTTATGTTAATCGAAGTGTGTCGATGAAATTCACAAAAGCACCTTTTCATGAACCGAAAGTTTGACTTTGTGCTAAACATTTATATAGATCAAACACGCAAGGACACCCTAGCAGTCTCCATACCCTACTGGCAAACAGTGACTTGAAAAGTTAATGTGCAATCGAGAAAGTAGTAACACGTTGTATTTTGTAATGATGTTCCTGTTCATAATTTTATTATATGACATTTGCATTCTCTGCTGACAGTTATATGAAGCATTTAACACTTAAACTGTCATAAAGCTGTTGTTTTTTTAATTTGGCTGTCATTTTTATATAATTGCTTATTCAGTAAGTAAAGAGATACAAGTCAAACCTCGGTCACATAATCAATGCAGTATAAATGTTGTTGATACGTGTTGACTAAATCGTGCGATACAGCGATGCTAGTGCGCAGTCCGCGATATTACATGGAATAGAAGACTTCATGGCGCACTAGGCAGTACGCCCAGCCTCAGCAACCGAGGACAGTGAGGCGCGGACAGTGGACTGGCGAAAGGGCAGGGGAAAAGTAGTAGCAGTCGACATTGGGAACCAGCGATTGGAATGAAAAGAGGCCACAGAATAAAAACCCGCCGGAGTAACGCGATAACGCAATCTGCGACGCCCAGTTCCTTCAGCTCTCATAGGCGCTTTCTGTAGTACAGCCCAGCAAAACAAAGATTATTTGTAAGAAAACGGCAAAGAAGTCTGCCACCTGATTTACAGAGTAAAATGGACCGATTTATGCATTTCCATGCTTGTTAAGAGGCCGCATAAATGTCAAGTGGATCAATTGTTAAGTACGGCTAAAGAAGACGAATCAATTTAAACGGAATTTATAAAAAAATAGTCCACAGGCTGATCATCGCAACACTCATTCATGTTGAAATGCACGTCATTCACGCATTACCACCGGCTTCTGGCGATGGGACATGCGAAATAAAGATCTCTCGAAGCAGTGAGAACTTAGTATTGTGTGTCTTATCAATGTTGCAATTTTCCATTAAACATGGGAGATCTCCAGTACGCAAATTGACCGTGCGCAGACCAGATAACATCTCGTGCATGTTAGTTGCCGACATTGATAGGTTAAAAACTCGTTTCGCGTTTCTACGCCAACCACTGCAGACATCGATCACGGGCGTTCCACTACTCGACTTTCAAAGTCACCCTTTAAGTTAAGTGTTACCACGGCCTAATTTCCCACCTGATTTCATCCACTGCACATGCATTGGTTAATACACAATCGTTTAACATTGGCTGCAAAACCAGCCTTACAACCGCTTGCTCTGCCTTTGACGTAGGACACATTATTATCTGATGCTTCGTGGAATTTACGTTGCAATCATTTATTATGCCGTTGCGGAGGCATGTTTCTTCTTGTGGAATAAGCGGTACGTTCTCCTCTACCAGTAATACTTTGATATAAATGTGAACTATCACCTGGCATTAGTCTATGTCTGCTTACTTATGTTTGATATACACATAATCTAGTGTCACAGGTTATGTGAACTGGGGCCTGTTTGCAGTATTTTGAATACCCACTACATGCATGTGTTAGTGTTTGTTCTGTTTTAGTGCGCTTATGAAATGTCCGCGAAGACATGGTGTATTATTCATTGATGATATTGTCGAGCATTTGCTTCGAAATATTTTGCATACTGATATAAAATATCCGTTGGCGAAAAAGGGTCGTCTTTATACAACAGTAACTTTCCAAAGGAGCAAAACCCAAATAAAATGTCATTTCCTAACTGATATGGCCGAAGCAAGATACTTACAATACGCTTGCATTGTTGAGTTTTCGACCGCGGAAATTTCTTTCTGGGTAAAGGTGAATTTAATTGCATACTTGTTGTTTGTCTTTGCGGTTCATATACGCATAGCAAAACTGTTGCCTAAGTGATATGCAAAATTTCCGCCGGCTACATAATTTTTTCGATTAGATTCCCTATTCGCACTATTGATATATCTAACTCGTCATACTGGGAATTAATATCAGACAGTCAACTATATATGCGGTTTCAGAAAGGATAAACGATTTTATGAAGTAGCTTTACAGTTCAAATATAAGATTTAGATAGTTACGTCATACCAATTATAATGAAGCATAATCAGTAGATGCTTCGGTCACGCCAGCATGCCGACTGCCGTTCGAACCTCTTATCAATCGCATACAAAAGCAAAATTCTGCAAATGCAGTAACGTAAAGTTCGCAGCTCACACTGTTTTCAAATAATTTTCAAAGCCATTTAATATTTAACTCCAACAATATATACAACCAGTAAATGTATATAACTATCCTTTCTTGGATCGATTACCGTTCTATTTTAGGGAACTGGTTTATTTCCAAATACATTTCGACCTCCTCTTTCCGTGAGGCGCTCATCCATTATTTCTTAATCTAGGCAAAAGCATATAGTAATAGTGTTTAAATGACGAGTACTTTTAGGCTCCAAATATTTTGGAATACACGACTCAATATCACCCACTTTACACGCAAGATGAATCTGCCCGTTAGTGTGATAATGCATGATTGGACGTTTTAAGATTTAAAAAAACCATGCAATTGAAATGCTTTAAATGGGATGATGCTCTTTTTCAAGTGTGAACTTTAAGATGCACTCTATTATTAAATGAGGGCAAGTAGGGACATGCATATGCATTATTCCAAGATGGTATCGGAAATCAATGGTAAAATGCATGCGATTAACAACACTATTTTTGTTGCGTGTAAATCTGCAGGTAGTCAACAAGGAGCTTGTCCAGTGCATGACATCCTAATGCGCTATAAACATACTTGCATTATTTTTAAAACTTCCGTTTCACCTAAGTAAGTCCTTGTAATCGAGGACGCATTTTAGAATTTCGGATAATATTTAATAAGGTCGCATATCTGCCGGGCGTTAAAACTGTTGAATTTAAGGGACTGTATTTACGACCGCTATAAACGCTTGCATGTTGCACTATAATCTATTAAGAAAGCAAAGACAATTAGGTCCGACTATTGTATAAGATTTTGCAATTCCTTTTGCAATCGAGAGCACAGTCTTAACCTTATCTAAAGAAATCAGCCCTTTGGAACCACGGAACAGACTATGTGCGTTTATCAGTCGTTTGTCTTTTTATGCTGAAGGAAACGTCTCCGATGCAGCCTTTAACGGGCCTGCGATATCGCAGACATGCTCGTTTTTGCACATATTTGCGACACTCTTAACGTGGTGCTAGTGGTTGTTTAACCGTCCCCACCCCAACAAAAGTCACGTTATTTTGAAGCACCTTGACTAGTCTCTGGTCATTAATGCAGGTTTTCTGACAGAAAGCAGAGACCTGCGCAATTCTAAACTTTCGTTTAATTTTAACAATAACAAAATATCAGTGGATGCTTTTGCAGAAATACCAGTGGATGTAACATATGGCTGGACATGTTCTACTTAAGTTCTACCACTGAAACACAAACGTAAAGAGCAGCCAAGCAAATTTTCAATGACATTAACCCCATATAATTTAAATTCGTTAGCAGTCGTAAAAAGGACACGTGAATTAGGCTGCTTGCACTAACTCATTCCACTCACTTAGATGTTTAAATAGATGTCGATAGCCTTAACGGTCAAGTTGCTCATTTTCAAGTTAATGAATCGCTTATGGTAGTGTTTGCTCCGAAAGAAAAATCGGTCTTTGAACTAGTAAAAAGTGCTCTTACGCAAGAGACTACCATATATTTGCGTAGACACATGCTAACTAAAAAAGTTCCACAACTTAATTACAGTAGTTGGGCTAACTCATGAAATATAAATCGAAATTTCGATATGCATTTTAATTTCGAAAATATTAGTTAATTAGGCTTTTAAAATCTTGACGATGCAGCATAAGTCTATACTAATTCAG